CGGGGCTGTGGTGAAGTAGTGGGGGGTTTCGCCCCAGCCGGGGTGGGCTGGAGCGGGTGCCCCCTGCTTGCCCCCCCCCCTCTGGTTACTGGGGGCTCCTTTGCTCATCCGACATCTTCAGCCCCAGCTCTCGCGTAACGCTGCCTCTTGCTGGGTTTAATGGGATGGATGGGATGCAATAGGCTTTCCTCTCCCCACCTACAGGAGCGCCCCGAGGTATTTTCAATCTACATTTGGGTGAAATTCAGCCTGAATCTGCTCCAAAGCTCACGCTCCTGTGCCATCGGGTTTGGAGTGCTGCACCAGACCCCAGGGCTGTGACCGGCTGCTCGTGTGGGACCCCTGCTAACAGCGGAGCGGGGCCAGTCCCGGGGCTTCCCCAACATCTCCCCAGTTCTGAGCAGCTCATCAAAGCCATCACTGAGAGCGTTTCTTGGCCTGGGAGGATCCTGCGTTGGCCCAGGTAAGACCTGCTCTCCCTGCCAGGCTGCCCAGGAGCCACCGGTCCCTGCAGCCTGTGACAGCCGCTTCAGATGGACAGACCTTTTCTGTAGGTCCTGTTACTTTTTCCTTCATGCCTTTGCTTTAAGTGTCTCTCCACTGAAGTCAGGCTTGTGACCTCTTGCTGCTGCTGTTAAAATGTTTCCGTCCAGCTTACGCAGGGCACATTTGGGGCACAGGGACAGCAACCGATGTACAGCTGGTGGTGGGGAGGGGACAGCATCAACCCCTGAAAGGACCTGGAGCTTTGGCCGCATCCAGCAGCTGTGGGTCCCGGGGCAGGACGTGTCTCCACTCCTTTCTTGCGAGTCTTCTGGCCCCAGGACCTCCAAGTTTCTCCACGTGCCTCAACTCCTGGTGACCTTGAAACGCTAGGTTTGTCAGGGGCTTGCTGTTTCTTGCTAAACTGGGTTGTGTTTTCTATTTTCTTCCCTCTCCCCCCCCCCCCTTTTGTTGCATGTGGGGTTTAGCTGAGCTCAGCGTAGGCTGCTGTCAGGAGGGAAGCATGCAGGAGCAGCAGCAGCTCAAAGGGAGCTGCTCCGCGGCGGCTCTGCAGGTCCCACGTGGCAGCTTCCAGCCGTGGCGGTGTGCCGGCAGCGCGGTAAAACTATCGGCACACGTTGTGGTTTGGAGATGCGCTAACTGAAAAGCTTTTGTCTTTTCAAGAAGTTAGCAAAACGCCACCACCGTGCAGCAGCGTTTGCACAAAGTGTAACGTGAGAGGCTGAAAGTGGAACTTGGAGCTGCCGGGGTCCCGAGCTGAGCTGCCTCAGCCTGACGCAAACCCACCCCTTTGCACTTACAAATGCTTAAACAAGCACTTTTTACATGCTGGTCTCTGGCAAACGGCTTGATGCTGTATCTGTCAGGAGGAAACATTCGAGTTGTCTTAGAAAAGCCTGGCAGGCTGCATCTCTTTATGGTGCTTTTAACGCATTTGCAAAACCTGACGTTGTGCTGTCCTTGTGCAGGTTTAGAAGAGCTAGGGTCAGCGCAAGTTTGCCTGTGTAATCGGTGGGACACGGGCTGCACCGGTGGCCCCAGCCCAGCCCTGTGGGACCCCTCACCCCAAGCATCCTGTATCACCTCTGGTGCTCAGTCCCCGAGATTTTTGTGCTGTGACCGCTGCGATGGCCCCCAGTTGCCTGCAGGCAGGACAGGGTAGAACCAGCCCCGCAGCGGGTTTTCTGGCAGAGCGGCCTGGTGCCATTTAGGCAGTGCCGTGTCCGGCTCTGCGACCGCTGGGCCCCGGACCCGAGTGCCTCCGGATCCGCTGTCCAATGAGTGGGAGAAGAAATCAGGCTGGAATTGTGTGTCGTGTTTTTCAAGGTGTAAATGATGCTGAGCTGGAGATACAGGCTGGGGGCTGTAAGCCAGGCTGGGCTGTCGAGGTGTCATCTCCCCTTGCCGCTGCGGGTGTGACGGAGGCAGGAGAGGCCGGAGCTGTGGGGTCTGTGCGCTGTGCTGAGCAGCTGGCACAGCACCCCAAAACCAAAGTGCCATCTTTGCCTTAACTGTTAGGCTGTGCCTCTTGGATGGAGGGTGCAGGGTGGCACGTTGCTGCTTTTGCTTAAGAAGATGCTTTAACGCCGGGGTGTGAGCAGTGGTGACGCTGAACGCGTGGCAGTGGAGCAGGGAAGGCTCAAGAGCATTTGCCTTGTTCCTGGCAGGTACGTGGGCTGCTCCGAGAAGTGCCGCTGCGGGATGCTGCTGTGCGGCTGGGCAGGAAGGAGCAAAGTCAAATCCCGCAAAGGTGCTGCGAGATGGGAGCTGGAGGCGGACAAGAAGAGGAGCTTCGGCGATCTCCTCCAATCCCACTTGCAAAAGCCAAGCAGGGAGGAGTCATTTCTTTAGCAGCCAAGTTCCAAAACAGTGAGCTAATACCTAAAACCCTAACAGTAAATCGTGTCTGTTTGCACCATGCTGTTCACTTTACCAAAGCGGAAACGTGTACTGTACAAATATGCACAGCACTGAGAGGTGTGAAGCGCAGGCAGATTTTTCCAGGGGCTCAGCCCGCAGCTGCCGTTAGCTCTGACAGGCTTGTTGCAGGTTCAGCGTTTTGGAAAAAAAGATTTTATAAACAAACGTAATCCTAGTAATAAAACCCTGACCTCGTCTCAGGGGCGGGGGGCTGAGGTTCAGGTTTCCTTTATTACTGAGAGCCTGTTCTGGAAATCACAGTGCTTACTGACACAAATCTCAACTCCGGTGGGAAGATTCGCAGCTTGAAATGTTTTCTGTCTGTATTTGGGGGGGAAGAGCTGAGCAGAGCGGGCACCGATGGCCACCCAGCTGCCCGTGCCGCCCGCCCAGGGTGGGGGATTGCTCC